GCGTGTCTGTCTGTCTGTCTGTCTTTCTGCCCGTCTGTCTGCGTGTCTCTGCCTCTCTTTCTCTCTGTCTCTCCGTCTCGGAGTGCCTCTCCCTCTCTCTGTCTGTTTGTGCTTGTCTGTCTCTGTAGCTGTCTTCATATTACGTAAATCTGTTACTTATCCATTCAGGAACCGGTTTCTTGGGCCACATACCGTGGAGCAGCGCTCTGTTGCCGCCCGGACCCGATCCGAGGAGAAGCCCAGCCTCGGAGAAAGTGATGGAATCTGGAAAAGATGCTTGAGGCTTCAGCGCCTTCCTTTGTGGAGTGACAGCAAGAGCTCCGAGAGCTGCTTCGACAAGCTGTTCCCTTATTGCTGGGTCCAGGCACCCGAGGAGCTGCGCCACCAGCTCAGTGTCGCCTGGAAGCCCGCAACAAAGCATAGATGAGAGCGCGTGGTATCTTGAAACCCCCATCCCAGTGCCTGGGTATCCATCGCTAGCCTTCTCACCAGCAGAATTTCAATCCGTGTTCCAGTCAAATATCTTTTCTGGGGCAGGGACGGGTCGTCGACCCGTCAGCTCCGACAGCACAGCCCTGACTTCAACAACAGGAATGGAAATTTGCAAGGTTTTTCTGAGGCTCTGGCAGCTTGGCAAGCTTGCTTTCGAGCGCTCTGCCGGCCGCTGCGCTGGCAGCCTCCAACACGACAAAGAGAACGGGCTCTGCTCGGCTGGGCCCCACACCCCCGCCTCAACTTGGGGCGAGACTTCGGCTGCTGTTTCCGCCCGCATCAAAGGACGCGGCCGCTTCGGCTCTGCCAGCCTCCGCGTCAGCAAGCCCAAAGCCTGCACAGACAGTCACCACCCCGTTTCTCACCCAATAAGGCATAACAGAAACACAGAGCGAAGGCTCTCCCTGACAGAAAAACAGAACGGAGGCTCTCCCATTGGTCTGCACAGCCATCACCCAAGGCGTGCAGCGGCAAGTTGACATGAGACTTCATGCGATCTAACAAGACGCTTCAGCCCACCATAATGTAGCATGCCGAAGCCTTCATGCCGTGCTCTTTAAGCGGCACTGCGACTTTCCCAGCCTCCAGAACTTCCTGTTCTTCTTGGAGCTGGTACTTGTTGGAAGACAATAGGCTCAGCATGGGCTCCATATGAACCCCTTCGAACTTTGTCAAACTTTCAGCAGGATTCTGTTGTGTGGGACCCATGGGGCTCTTCCTTTCACAGCTGCTGAAGACTCACGAATCACTGCGAGATCCAGCGTCGAGCGATCATCGTCTCCTTGAGCTTGCTCGCTATGGATGCTGTCGAAAAGACTTTTGTTTGTGGGCTTGGCAGTCGTTGGCGATGACTTTGGCCTGTCCTCGCACTTCCTGCTCGTCGTAGCCGCCCTGAATCATGTCGTTGGCCCAGGGAGCCCAACTCCTGCAAGTGCCATGGTCGAGGATGTTCAAGAAGGGAAACCCCTGCCGGCTCGAAGTTGTATGAGGGCGAGTTGGCTCACAAAGCTCAGGCGTTGCCTTGAAGTAGGCATCACAAGCACCTCGCCAGCCTCCTCCCCTTCCTGCGCTGATGAATGGGTTGGACTCAGAAGCACAAGCGCCGGTCGGTGAGCTGCTGGTAGACGCAAGGCTTCTCCACGATGGCGCCCCTTTGCAAAGCAGAAACCCATCGAAGGATCCAAGGCTTGTCCAAGTTGCCAACCCATCTTGCGCGCCTGTTCCGCAAAGCGAGCCGGGCAGTTCACGTCTTCAACGCTTCCTCCCAGCGGGATCAGGTGGTTTTTCAGCTCTTTCGTGCCCTTCTTGATCAACCTCCAGTTTGCCGTGCTTGTCGGCCAGCCAGTCCATGAAGACTGCGTTCTTGTCATAGAGGTAGCAGTGGACGACGGGCCTCGAATTCTCCCACGACTCACGCGGAGCAAAATGCCACGCATGTCACCAGATGTCAAGAGAGCACGATTTCGTGGCGGACCAAGCGCTCTCAATCAGGATCTCTCTTCCTGAACCCAGACTTCACCGTGTAAAGTGGCCCTTCTGGAGTTGTCTCAAGTTGTTCTCCGGCGGCCAGGTCGGCCTTCATGCATGTTCATGTCTCCTCGTCGTCGCGGTAGATCTCATGGACTTCGGTCTCGACGTCTCGTCGTTCCGTGGGGGTCTTGGCCCTGCGAGTGGGATCAGACCTGTGTGGCCCTCTCTGATGAACATCGTCTCCATGCCGGACGAGGTTGCCTGTGAAGAAAGGGCAGCTCCAGCGTTCGCCGGGGGAGGTGTTGCTCGTGAAGGAGTCGTTCCGGGCGACCTCGTGGAGCAGGTACAGGTACTTGAACAAAGCTCGTCCCCGTCGATCCACCACATTGGTCGCCGTCTCCGAAGTGTACTCGGGAATTGGCTAGCCCTCGGTGTCGTCCAGTCTCGACCATCGACTCCCGCAACGCAGGCAGGTCCACCAATTCGCCAGACGGCTTGCTCGGCATCTCATGCGATCCGGGCCTTGGAGGGCAACTTTATGGCTTTTTGTTCTTTCGTCCGAGCTCGCCGAGGTGGCTTTAGTTGCTGGCGATTTTGTGGGTCACCATCTGCCGCCTCGTGGTCTCCGGCATGAAGAATATCTGCTGCACCACGCTTGCTGGCTTCATCGACTTCACCTCCAGAAATCCAATTGGCTGCATCGATTTTAACCGTGTACTACGAGGACTCCATAAGTGGCTTCATCGACTTCACCACCTACTACGAGGACTCCAGCAACGGCTTCGTCGACTTCACCATCCACTACCTCGCCCTTAGATATGACCTCCATGGAGTCAGTTGTGTCGGCTACCTCAGGGCATCCCTGAACAAAGAAGTATGGGCAGCCATTGAACAGCAAGATCACCTGAGCAGAAGACAAAGGCCTTGGGTTCGCAGAGAGACTACACGGTGCGAGCGATGGAGGATTTGCTGAAGAAGGTGACGTTTCACGGCAATGACAGTCGCAGTGCGCTGGTCTCCCAGCGAAAGGACTCGGGAGCCGTGGCTTTTGGGCTGTATGCTCATGGGAACCTGCATGGAGTGGCCAACGCCACGGAAGGAATGCCAGAGTTCCTGAAGTACGTCAAGGACTGGTTCCAGAGTTCCAGAGCAAGCTGCTTAGCCGAGATTTGGCAGGACGGGCATAGATGTGGACTTCTTTCAGTGTGAATGTGAACATGGCATCCCGTCTGGCTTGGAGAGGCCGAAGACTTTCGCTGGCCATGCACATTGCTCGTTCAGCCGCCGACATGGACATGTACATTGTTTCCAAACTACAAGGATTAAATTTTCCCAGGTTGGTTGCTTCTTGCTCTCTTACTTCTCTTCATGATGATGAGCAAGGCGGTGACGCTGCTGAGTTGCACCACGCAGAAGCATGTGAGTGGGACATGGAGACCAGTCTTGATGATGGAATTGGGACATCGTGTCTATGCATCCGTTCCCAGAATGCTCAAGCAAGTGCTCACTCGAGCAGCTGTGTGGGATTTGAATTTGAATCGACGCCCAGTCCCTGCCAACCTTCGGATGTCGAGCCTGGCGCAAGTGCAGGGACTGCTTGCAGCCAATTCTCCGGAGGAGCACCAGCCAAAGCGAACTCCGGTGAAGAAGCTCGAGCACTTCTGGAGTTATGGGGTAGTTTTCGGTGAAGTCGATGAAGCGAGCCGCGAGTCCGCTCCCAGCATTCCTGCTGGTCGCGACAAGCTGCAGGAACCTGCCAAGGAGAATCCTCGAAATCCACAACGCTGATTGCACGATGCCCAGAAGGAAGACGATGCATAGCCGCTCGCAGTCCGCCTGGAGTCCGCAGCTCGCCCAAGCCGAGGTCAATGATGGAACGAACCGCCTCCAGGAATAGAAATGGGAAGTAGAAGTAGGGGCGGCGTCTCGAACTTGTCACCATCAGCCAAGCTCGTAAAGCACAACAGCCCATGAAGTCCTGCGACTCCCACTGGAGCATCCACCATCCGACGAACGGTTGCTTGGCCGCCGATTCCCGCATCCCCGGCGGCTGTCCGGGCCTGAAGGTTCTCGGAGCCGCCGCGCATGAACGTGCTACTCTTGCCATAGAATCGTTAGGACGGTTCTTTTTTCGCCTCTCCTTTGCGCCCACGTCCCTTGCCACGACCTCTGCTCGAAGAAGTAAGGCAATCCACCAAGCCCCTTTCTTTCTTTCTCGCTTGCAAATCCCGACGAACATCAGAGTAGGCACCGCAGTACGCCTGGATCGATGTACAAGGCCTCATCCTCGACGAGTACTCCTTGTCTTCACCATCCGCCAGGTCGAACTCTCCCTTAGATTACTATTCTTCTGCCTCTTCCTCTCCATCGTCTTGGTCCTGGACTGCGATGACGGGGTAGTGTTTAGCAGCCTGAGCACCGAGTTCTGTTCTGCTCCAGTGGCTTGTGCGAGAAGTTCCGGTCGATCAAGCGATCTCAAAAGCCAAAAGCTGCCCTTGCCATCATCTCTCTCTGAGGCTCTGTCAGATTGGCAGATTCGTACGACGAAAAAGCACACGCCCTGCCACTTTCTGGCACAACCTTTCTTGCAAGTGGCTCTCCAAATCCTGACAAGCCACTTCCTTGGCCACGATGTACGTCGCGAAACTCTCGCACTTGCCCCACTCGTCGTGGCAGGGGAAGCGGTCGATGGAGGTGAGTCCAGCAATCGCCAGGTACGGCTGGCCAAAACAGCACCCAACGCGGCTTTGAGGTCAACGAGTCTGCCATCGGAACCTGATCAGCAATCTTCTGAGGTTTGGGTAAAGCCTCAAACCCCAACGCTCCTTCGGCACAGGGTTCTCCGTCTCCGAGAAGCTTCAGCCAAGACCGCATAGTCCCGGGTTGTCCCGACCATCCAGGAATTGACTTCTTCTCGCCGGTGATGGCTTTAGTGAATCTTTCTCATGCTTGATCATGCCGCAGAGGAGGTGCTTTCATTCCCAGCATTTCGGAAGCCGCAACCACCATCTTGGGCTGAGGAGCTCCGGCAGATATGTTCAAAGATTGCGCAGCGTCGGCCGTGCAATTCACGAACGATGCATCGATCTTGCCCACCAACCTCGAAATGGTTGCTTCTTCGTTGCCACCCGCGGCAACGGAAGAGGTCGAGCGCCATGCGTCGTTCACAGCTGTGTTGCCTCGCCGCAACAAGTCTTGTGCTCATGGGTCAGACGACATGGCCTAAAGCCGTATGGGCTCCGCTACCACCTAACGGACCTAACAGAAAGACGGAGCGGAGGCTCCCTTTTGTCTGCACAGCCATCGCTCAAGGCATGCGGAGGCACAGCTTGACATGAGAGCTCACGCGGTCTAACAAGACGCTTCTCAGGCAAAAACGCCATGAACATTACCATGGCAGCTTCTTTTTCGGTGTTCTGCGGCCCCTGGCCTGGCCTGGGCAGACTCCTTGGCTTTTCTCGTGGATTCTTCCAGGGCCCACTCCATGGCGTCCTCGAAGAACACAGAGCTTTTCAGAGCAGCGAGGGAAGGTCCCAGGCAGCCGTCCTCCGTACCTGAGGGAAAGCGCTTGGCTGCCTCCTGAGCGATGTCCTGCGCTCAGATGAGCTCAAAACTTCTTGCGATGCACAGAACGCTACGGCTCCTGGCTGAAGCCCATTTCCATCAGCTGGGCTGTCAGCGCCTCTGCCACTACTGCGCTCGCACGAGTAAAAGTCTTCTCGAGGTCTCTCGCGTTCTCCTCTTTACCGCAGGACGCGGCACCGTCGCATCTCTGGATCCAGCTCGCTCTTAGTCACTCAGTCGGCCAACCCGATCGCTTGAAAGGTTGCTGTCCCCGTCTCACACCGCATGAGGACGGCGTGTTCGCGGCCTGGTTCGAACGGGAAAGCTTGCTGCGCGTTGGCGTTCTCGGACCCCTTCACACAAATGTAGACACACACACACAGACAGACAAACTGCACAAACAAACAAACAAACAGACAGACAGACAGACAGACAAACAGGTAG